GGGGGTTGGGGGTGGGTGAGACACTAGGAGTGGTCTCCACGGGTGGGGAGTTGCAAGTGGGGGTGGGCGTGAAGGTCGCGGGTTGAGAACAAGTTCAAGGAGGGGTTGAAATTTTGGGCCAGGGGCGGCACAGATCGCGGATGCAAAGGGAGGGGTTTGGGAGGGCGTGTCGCACCGCGCCGCAAGGCTTGCTGGGGCAGCCGCGGCTGGAGCATGGGTCCGGGCATGAGAGAGGGTTGTGCGCGCATCGCTCGGGTTGCTGCGCTGTATGAAAGCAAGCCCGCTGGAAACAGCACAGCTGGCAGAGCATCGTGGCCAGACCGCCCAGCATTGCAAAGACGTACCATCACGCCCGCCCGTGGGGGCGCTGCGTGAGTATGGGCGCACCTGCGCGTGCTGTCGGGGTGCGTGCAGCCCAGGCCCGCGATGAGCGCCTCTGCACCATGGCGCTGCCTGTCACTGTGAGAGGCCTGCATTACCGGGGTGGGCGCGGGCGCGGGCGCGTGGCAGGGTGCCCTGTCAGTTGCTGCAGGGCGCTCAGGGTCCCGCACAGCCGGCAGACCTCGCGGCCGCGTACGGCGCGGATCAACAGCGAATGTCCGCCCGCGCTGCCCTGCACCCCCTTTGCCTCCCCCGCCCCATGAGGGCCCCGACCTGCACCCTCTAGTGTGCATTGCCCCCTGAACTCCCCTAAACTTTGGCCTGAAGCAGGCCACGCCTGTGCATGCCCCTCATCACCAAGCCCCCTATTGTGAGCACCCGCCCCATCCAAGGAACTGCAGATCAAACTCAGGACGCCTCAGCCCGTCCAATGTCCCCAGGAGACCCCCATACGCCATCAGGGCCGCGCCTGTGCGAGCAGTGTGAACGCCTCGGGCCCCTTGGACGCATCAAAGCCTGCCAGTGTCATCAGCTTGAGGCCTGGGTACAGGGCGCAGCGTGAGGCAGGGTGATGCGAGGGGCTTCAATGGGTGAGGGGGGCCTGAGGGAGCGGTGGGCTTAGGGGGCGATGCCGCGATAGGCGACAAAGGGTGGAGCAGCGCAGCGCGCGGCAGCAGGCGCGTCCGCCGCCGCCGCAGCCCTTTAGCTGGGTGGACACTCCTCTAGCCTTGCGTGGCTGGGTCTCCCGTTCTGGAGAAAAACGACACAGCCCCTTGCAATAAAATATCACGCCTCAACCTGTGTGATACTCCTCCGCCAATCAAGCGGTTGCGTGATTATTCGCATCCCCGATGCCGCCGGCCGCCTGCAAAGATGAACAAGTTCTACCGAAAAGAGCAACAAGCGTACCGCCCTGCAACCAAGCCTACCTCCATTGCAACCTTCGCTTGCCCCCAAAAACACAAAGATGCCCCTCACCAATCAGGTCCGCCTCAGTCTCTGCGCGCCGGCTGAAGGGCAGCTCGAGAAGGATGGCAGTCAAACGGTCAACCATGTCCTGACTCATCCAGACGGGAAGCTGCGGGGCACCTGCCGTGCCGCCGCCGCTGCGTGGGGCCGCGGCGGCAGCGCCGTAGCGCGAGGCGGCGGCGGTGGCGCCGAGCGCGGCGGCGCCGTGAGGCTGGTGCTGCTGCGGATACTGGTGCTGCTGCTGCTGCTCCTCTTCCTCCTCCTCCTCGCCGCCTTCCACGAGCCGGGAGTACTGGAGGGATCCAATAGGGTATCAGCAACGGCATGTTTTAGATGAGGCGGCTTCAGCCTTCCCCTGCTCCAGGATATAAGGGCTACCACGCAACCTCGTACCGGCCGACGCCCTGCAAAATCGCGACCCTCACTCTCCTCATCGGCTGCCCTCCTCCTCGTCAGCCCCACTCCCCCCTGCAGATGAACCGGCCTCTCAGCCCCCAAGGAAGCCGAACAAATCCCCAAACTCCCGCGAAGCGCCTCACCCGCATGTGGCGCGCGTGCCTCGACCGCTCCTCCTCCTGCCGCTGCCGCGCCTCGTAACCCCTGCCGCCGCCGGCAGGGGCGCCGCCGTTGAGCGCGGCCGCCACGATGGAGAGCGCCACGCTGATGCCGAGGCCGAGCCCCATCTTCTCGGTGCTGTGGCGCGCCAGGGCGTGCGCGATCTCGTGGCTGTCGTTTTGAACGTTTGAAATCCACAGTTGGCAGCAGGGCGGCAGAACGCGGGTTGGTGGGGGAGAAAACCGTGGGAAAGCAAGGGTACTGAGATACGCTTTGAGGAATGGCGAGACCTGCCGGCACCATGCCTCCAGCAGAGCCGCTGCGTGCTCTCGCTTGGATCCCAGCGCACACAGCAAACAAGCCAATACCAGCTGCAGCCCATCATGTGCACGCTGGGGAGCCGCAGATGGCGCGCCGCAGTCCTTTCCCTTTGCACCATCGCCTGCCTGACAGCCGCCGGGCAGCGTCCCTTTGCAGCGCCCATACAGAACAACCCCACAAACCAGGGCCGCGAGGAGTCCCCGCCAACACACGCGCACAAGTTGACATGCGCACGCTTGTGTGACTAACAGCAGGTTGGCTCCAGCCCCACCCACCCCATGACCATTGCCAGCAGGTCTTTGTCGCGCCGCAGCAGCTTCAGCAGGCCGGTGTAGACGCAGATCTTGCCCCCGGGGAACACAAAGGCTGCACGGGCACGATTCGCATGTGTGTTTTTGCAAGAGTGTAGGCGCGGAATGCGTGTGTGTGCATGCGTGTATGCGAACGCACGTGCATGCGCACGCATGCGGGTTTTGCGTGCAAACATGAGTGCATGCCGACATATGCCTCTGTGTGAGTGCATGCGCGCATTCATGCATGCAAGCGCGACTGCAGGCGTTGCATGCATGCACTTGTATTTCCTCGGCCCCCTCCCCCCTTCATCGCTCTGACTCAACGCACCATTCATCGTCTCCTCATCCACCACTGCCACCTCCCAGCTGAAGCTGCGGTACAAATTCAGGGCGCGCAAAGCACCCATGCTTGATCAGCTTTGTTGCGGCGGCTCAAAACGTCTCCCCCCCCAAAAAAGGTGTGTGTGTGTCGGAGGAATGAGTCGACCCGCACAAGTCAAGGACATCCAGGGGAAAGGGGCTCGCAGGCTGCTGGCCCGCCTGCCCGCAAACCCTGCCCCGACCGAACCCCTCGCATTCGCACGTCGTCATCACCAAGGCTCCAAGGCCAAGGCGGCCTGCCTCAGCGAAATCACGGCGCGCCCATGATTTCAAAAATCAGGCCTAACGCAGAGGCCCCTGCGAGCCAGCGCGAATTAATGGCAGTGCGCTACACCGCACGAAGGAATGTGCGCTGCGCACAGCGGGCCGCGAACGCCGTTGTGCCCACCTGCGCAGGTGCTTCTGATAGCCGCCGCCCTTACCCTCCCCAAGCGCCTTGATCAGCCGCTGCGCCACGGATGTCACCTGGGGGGCGGGTGTCCAGATGAACAACACATTGGAAGGCGGGTCAGCGCAAAGCGCGATGCGGTGCAGCCGTCGGGGCGCAACGCGCGCGCGGGCAGCCCTGGTGGCGAACACTGCGGCCCGCGGGACGTGTAAGAAGCCAGTTTGCCCGACTTGGGAATCAGCGTCTTGCTGAGACGCCACCCGCCTGCCGCAGCCGCTGAGGTGGCGCCCGGCCGAACGTGCCGCCCTCCCCGGCCGTCCATGGCGCAAGCTGCACCGAAAAGGGGGGCGAGGCAGGGATGGGCGGCCCCGCGGCCAGCACCCAACCAGCGCCCGCCCGCGGTGGCTGCGCACCAGCAGCGTATCTTTGTGCTGCTTGCCCAGCAGCGTCTTCTTGCCGGCCTGCTCGGCCACAAATTTCTGGTAAAGCACAGCGCCGAGGGCAGCCTCCGCCGCTGACGGCAGCTGCTCACGTGGGGCGTGGAAGGGGGGAGAGGCAGGGTGCGGCGCAGCGGGACGGGCCGTGTCGTGGGCCGTCGCGCCCCTTCACCCTCTGCCGCCCACAAGGGGCGCAACGGGGACTGTGTCGAGAGAGCAGGGGACGTCACATCGTGCTCGTGGCAATTTGTGGCAGAATGTAGATAGCCCCATCTGCTTGAGCTTTGCTGGTGAGTGCCCCCCAGGCGGTTCCAGCCATCATTAGCAAGGCCCCGCCATTTCACCTGCACATGAATGGGTACAAAAGGAGCCACCTCTATTCACCAACAAATACAGGGTTGAGGAGGAGGGCGGCACCCACCAAGATGATGTGGACGCGCGAGGTGAAGGGAACGCGCTGCTCGGCGTGCCCGTAGGCCCAGCGCCCAACGATGAAGCCGGCCACGGCCGCGAGGGGCCCCAGCCGCAGCCCCGCGCCGGTGGCGGCACCCACTAGGCAGCCGACGATGTTGCGCCGCTGCGGGGCGAGGAGGGGGGGGGGTGGAGGAGGAGGGGCGGATTCAAAACCGGGGTCGGTGGATTATACAGCGCCGGCGCATGCATCCCCTGGCGGTGACGTCAGATGGTGGCCCGCGCCGCCGGCCTCCTCGGCTCCAGGCCGCAGGGCAGGCCACGCCATAAAGAGGCAAAGGCGGCAGCGCTGGCACGGCTCACCGAAAACAGGGTGCGCAGGGGGTTGCGGCGCTGCGCGACGCCCAGCTGCTCTTGCTGCGGCGGCGCCATCGACACGGCAATCAGCTCACGGGCCGAGCGTCCAAGGGGCGCGTCCGATTCGGATTATCTTGGAATTTATAGAAAGCCGCGGATGCGTGCGTTGATGACCAACAACTGTTGGTACAGTAAGATCTGAGTTCTCAGACTCGAGAGAGCATGGCGCATGGATGAAAAAGAACAGCCAGTATCCTGGACAAAGCGGCAAAAACCACTTTGCGAGCTCTTCCAGAAGTTGTCATGCCGCAAAATCGGCACTGCTGACCGCTGAGTGACCATACGCAACCTGAGCACTGCGGATTCTCGCCCAAGGGGCAGCAAGAGCGTTCAAGCGCCATGGCATGGTTGTATGGCATGAAGCTTGGCTATGGGTCATCACCTATGGTCCATACAGCTGCCACAGGAACAAGTCCTGCATTATGGCCATTCCTGGGGTTCACCACATCGGGCTGCCGTTGCCTCGGCTGGCTCCGATCTGCATGCGGCCGTTTGCTCCCCTGTCCTTGTGAGATTGCATATGGAAGTTCACACGCTGACAAATCGCAGGGTGCCCACACCAGCCGCAAATGATTACAAGCTTGAGTCGCCACACAATGAACCGTCCCTGCAAACGCAGCGCCATCCACGGGACCATTTGTTGCAAGCTTTGCAAATCAGAGAAAAGCGAGTACACACGGCAGAGCACGGGCGCAGCCATGCGCCCGCATCGACCCAAAACTGCGCTGCTTGGCGGCTCCATTTCGCGGTTGCTGCGAATGGCCATCAACGTCCTGAGAAGGGAATCGCAATCCAAGATCAGGATCGTTTCACAACCCTCCCAGAGAGGAACCCCAACCTCCCTTACTGCATCAAAAACACCTGCGTATCAAGCAGCGGCTGCCCCCCAAAATGACGACACGGCGTCGCTGGGGCCAGGAGCTGACACACTTGGAAGCAATGACACGCCGCTGCGCCCCTGCGGCCTCACCGCCGGCTCATCAGGCGTCTTGGGCCGGGACGAACTTCATTGCCAGTCCTGCAGTGGGGCACATCTATCTCAATACTTGCTTGTACAAAGGGGGCTTGTGGCCTGAGGCAGCAATGCACAGGCTGGCCAGAGCCGTGAAAGTATTGCTGCATGGCAGAGCATCCCGCTGGCAAGGCCACCCACCCTCGCCGCCCTCCGTCCCCTGCGGTGCCCCCCCCCCCCCGAGCGCCCACCGTTGCAGCAGTAGCGCTTGCCGGTGGGGGCCGGCCCGTCGTCGAAGACGTGGCCCACGTGGCCCTTGCACTTGGCGCAGCGGTACTCTGTGCGCGGCATGAAGAAAATGGAGAAGTCAAGCGTCTCCTCAAGGGCGCCTGGAGGGGGGAGAGGAGGTGGTCGTGAGGTGGTCGTGAGGCAACTGGAGCCAGGGAGTCAGGTGACATGGCGAGAGCCGGAACGGAAGTGGAGGTCAAATGCCAGGCGGCGACGATGTTTGTGAGTAAGCTGTGTACGCGTGTGTTGTGTTTCCAAGGGGACGTGCCCATGCCTGCACTTGTGTACATCCGCGTGTGTGCGTGTTGTGCATGTGTAGAGGCAGGTTGTGGGACACAGTTGCATGTGCAGGTACCCAATTTTGCCAACTTCCTTTGGGATGACAAAAATTGCCTGCCCAATGCATAGCTGGCAAGCGTTGCAGCTCAGTGAGCCAAGACGCCCCGCCCTTCCAGAATCGTCCTGAAATCAGCCGCTAGCCCTGGCACCGTGCTTCGCTCCCCCCCTTCGCGAAGCCCAGCTGCGAGGCCACGCACCGTCCACTGGCTTGTAAAAGCTGGGCCACCCGGTCCCTGACTCGTACTTGGTTGAAGAAGGAAACAGCGGGCTGCTGCAGCCTGCGCACACAAACGTGCCCTTACGCTTCTCTGCAGAGCAGGGGCGGAGCGCGGTTCAGGGTCGGCGCAGGCTCAGTCGGGCGTGGGAGAGGGGATGTGCTCGGAGATAGGACGCGCGAAATTGCGCGTTTGATTGTTTGACAATCAAGCATGCGAGGCAGACGAGAAGCTGAATGGGGACATCACTCCCAACCAGCTGGGTAATCACCATAGTAAAGAGGGCTCGAGAAGGGGCGCTCCGTGGCAGCCTGCAGCGGTTTCATTGGGGGGGCGGGGCGCAGCAGGTTGAGAGCGAGCTTGCATCGCGAGCAGGCCGGCTCCCTCCTGAAACTGGTGCAAACCATTGTGCGTGATACTGCGCGACCGCACGCGCCTGGAAGCTGCTTTGTGGGCATGTGAGGGAAACGGTGGTGCCGCCTGGCACAGGTGACCCTGCAGAAGGGTGGTGTTGGGCAGATTGCTGCAACCCTGCAGCTGAAGCCACCGCCCCTCACCTTGCGAAGAACTTGGTAGGAGTCGTTGCCCAGAAGCTGCTTCCACTCCTCTTCAGAATGGAAGATCTACAGTCAAGATTCCCATTAGGGGTAGCAGTGCAAAAACGGCCTTGTGGATCATCTGCGAATTGGAAGTCATGTTGCATGCACACAGTGCTGCTGCTGCTGCTGCTGCTGCTGCTGCTGCTGCTGCTGCTGCTGCTGCTGCTGCTGCTGCTGCTGCTGCTACTGCTGCTACTGCTGCTGCTGCTGGTGCCGCCTCCACCAGCGGTTGCAAATGCTCCTGCCTCTGAAGTGGCGGCAGCAAGCCCCCCCCTCCCCCCGGGCGGTCGCCACCACTCCGCTGCTGCTGTTGGCAACGCTGCTGCCGAGAACGCTGGTGTCGACGACGCAGCAGGAACGTTGCCGGCGCTGCTGCTGCTGGAATTGCGGGAGTGCGGTAATCAGTGAGTCAACAGGGTCGATCTGGAGCACGCACCTCGCCACGGCGCTCGTCCACCTCAGCACGCGCCACGCCGCTGCTCAGCGCCGCAACACCCAGAGCACCGCCGCCCAGCAGCGCTCGCCGAGCCACGGCCTTGCCACTGGTAGGGGAGTGATTTTCAGGCAACGAGTCCGGTGATTCAAACAGGGCATGTGGGGGGCATGCGGCGTCGGCCCCCCAAGGCCTGTCTCGACGCCCGTTGCCAAGTACATCAGCACCACTCGCTGCAGGACCCTTCCGCCACGGGTTTTCCTGGTCAGCCACACCCAGCACTCCCTTTGTCAGTCACTGCGTGACCCAGCTGTGATGTGCGCACCTGCCCTCGGCGGCGGCATTCGCGAAGCAGCGAACAGCGCGCCTGCAGCGAGTGCTGCTCGTGCTGCTGGCGCGGCATGTTCCAACAATGGGGACCTTTCCAGCCTGCGTCTCATGGCGCATAAGATTATTGTCACGCTTAACTACACACATGCACGGCGACAGGCACCGAAACGTCCCCGCGGGTTGCTCACCAGCATCGTGGATGGCTGGGGATGGTCAACGCCTGAGTCGTGTCCTGCCGGCCTGTTTCAAAACAAAACAACGCACAGAATAGGCCTCAACTTTTCGAGCTTCCTCGTGGCACATTCTTCTCCCCGCCTCTTTGCGAGTGGGCATCCAGCGGGCCTGATGCCGCGGAATCCGATCCAATAGTGTCCTGCAAGCGAGCACCACATGAGAAATGAACCTATCACACTCCACGCTTCTGCATGATGGCCACACGACCTGTGTTTTCTTGATCATGTGCCAGGGCGCGCCTCGCTAACACACGCCCTCACACCACCCGCCATGCGCACTTAGCACCACGAGAGGCATGACGCCTGTGGCGCTGCTTGCTTCCCGCCAAGGTTGCACCGTGGCGCTTGGTGCGGGTGTGGGCCCTGCTGCTGGTCCACCCCCCGTCAACCCTCTCGGTTCACCTTGGGCGCCCGAGACCTGCTTCGCACAGCTTCTTGGGCAGGAGCTAGTCGCTGCGATCCGCGCCTCTAGCAAGGGCCAGGCAGGCCCGCCGCAGCTCATCTCGGACGAGGCCGCCAGCGCTGCTCGGACACCCAGTGACGTGGGCGCTTGCCGCCTGCCCAGCGGCCCCCGCCGCCCCCGCCGCGCCCTGGCGGGAGCCTCCTGCCGCGCTGCCGCCGACGCCAGCGCGGGCAGCAAAGCTCGCAGCGCCTGGCCGTCCACCCTGCTGCCGTCCGGCGCCGTCGCAAACTCCGTCCCCCTCGGCGCCGCCGGCGCCGCCGCGGCCGCCGGCGCGCTGCTCCTTCGCGGCGCCGCGCGCGCGCTCCGCCGCTGGCATGCGGCGCGCCGCATGTCCTCCCGCCGCGGCAGCGGGCCGCTGGCGGGTGGTGGTGGCGGCGGCGGGAACCCCTCCAACGAGATCACGGTGGTGACCTTCAACATCCGCGGCATTATGGACCGGTGGGGGGAGCGGCGGCCCCTGCTGCGGCGCTGCCTCAAGCAGCTGGATGCGGATGTGGTCTGCTTCCAAGAGGTGCTCACAGGTGGGGCGCCTGGGTTTGGTTGGTTGGGTGACGTTCTATCGCGGGCTGGTTGGGCGGGGTGGAGGGTCACATCAGGTGGACGTGATGCAGAAGCTGCAGCCGTGAATGCGTCCGGGTGCGCTGTGGTGATGGGGCGGGACAGTGCGGGCCCCTGCCCACAAGCTGCAAGCCCCCATACTTGCTGCTCTGCACACACCATCTGCCTAAGGGCGGTCCGCGCCCTCAAAACGGCAGGCGAGTTCACTCAGGAGCGGCAGCTGCTCGGCCGCGACTACGAGATCCACGCCTGCCGCGCCGCCCTCGACTCCATCGCCTGCAGCGGCGCCCTCGGCGCCGCCCTCGCCGCCGCCGCGCGCGGCCTGCTCGCGCTGCCGCCGCCGCGCGCCGCCATGCTCGCCGCACCGGCGGCGGTGGAGCGGTGGCGCGAGGCCAACCGGCTGTCTGCGGCGTGGTCGCGGATGATCCGGGACCTCTGCATCGCTCCGTTTTTCGGCAACTCGATCGCCACCCGCCTGCCCCGGCCGGACGGCGCGCCGGGCGCGGAGACGCTGCTGCTCGGCAGTTTCCGGGCGGCGCAGCGCGTGTGCGTCGCGCTGGCTGCCAGCGAGGCGGAGGCAGCTGGCGACGGCAGCAGCAGCAGCAGCAGCAGCAGCAGCAGCAGCAGCAGCAGCAGCAGCAGCAGCAGCAACGGCACCGAGTGGAGCAACAGCAGCGGTGGCAGCACGGGGGAGAAGGGGGAGCGGGAGCCGCTGCTGGTTTGGCTGGTCAACACGCACCTTGACCACGCGTCCCCAGAGACAAGGCGGCAGCAGATTGAGGTGCGGTGCTGCCATGTGCATGCATGTCATCTGTGATGGTGTTGATGTGCACGCGCACAAGCACGTTGATTGTGTGAGATCACACGCATGCGTGTGCGGGTCAAGAGAAGGAGATTGAAGGTTGTCTTGGGGCGGCGGCTGCCAGTATTTTGTGCGGGTTGCGTGTGTGTCACTTCGCGTCATGTGTGCTGCTTGGCGCATCGCGGCCATTGGTGTCAGCCACCGCCGCCCCTGGCCTCGACATCCCTGCACCACCACGCAAGCGGCCTGCCCGCTCACCTGCAGCGCTGGCAGCTAACCAACGGGCTCCCCCACGCACGCTCGCCCACTGAGGCAGTCGCATAAGCGCCACTCACACGGCCCCGTCAACCCCCGCTTGCATTTCTTTCAATCACCCCAGGCAATCCTGCAGTGGATGGAGCCCGCACGCGCCGGCTGCGCGGGGGTGGTCTTGACAGGGGACCTGAACGCGCCGCCGGGGGAGGGCGCCCACATTGCACTGCAGGAGGGCGGCTACTATTCAGCCAGCCAGGTTGGTGGACGGCCCTGGGCGGTGGGCCGGGTTACATTTGGATTGGGGTTGACCCGCACACGTATTGTTGGGCCTGCGATTCCGGTGGTTGTGACACGAGCAGCGCGTAGGACTGAGCATTTGGGGAAGAAAGCTTGTCGGCTGCCAGATGCCACCATACGATGCGCTCCTAGGACTGCGCTGAGCTCTTTCGGAGCCATGCAGCTGCCTCCCGCGCGCATCCATCATTCCTCAAACCGCACCTCAACCCCGCCACGCCGCTCGCCGCCCACTGCCTGTGTTAATGCCCGCCAACCCTGTTTTGTATGCTTGCGTGTCCACTCACCGCCAGGCCGCCAATGGGCGCGAGCCGGAGGCCACATGGCCGTCCGGCCTGGTGGCGCCGCTCATGGACGAGGGCGAGCCGCACTGCGCCGACTACGTGTACGTCTGGTCGTCCCCCGGCTGTGACGTCAGAGTGACGTCAGCGAGGGTGGCCGGCGACGAGGCGGCGGCGGGGGACGCGACGTTGTTCCCCTCGGACCACTTTGCTCTACACGTGCGGCTGTCGGTCGCGCGGCGGGGGGGCGCCGCTCCCTCTGTTGCAGGCGCGGCCATCAAGGCGGCTGCCGCCGCGCCCCTCGTCGGGGCCGCCACCGCGGCCTGCTAGGCGCCCGCCTTGTGCAAGCATGCACTTGTAGCTTGCAGGCCGCGGTTGCCCCGTGGCAAGCGTGCACTCAACGCATTTGCATGCACCTGCCGCATCATGCATCATCCAATCACTGGGCCGCTCTTTGATTCACGCAAATGCTGGGGCGGCACCCGAGCCAATGCGCGTTTCACAGGCACTTGTATTTTCCCGAGCTGCATATTGCGGCTCCCTTGACGCTCGCGTGCGTGGCAAGCAACATGTGGCATTGCTAGACTGGCTGTCTTGCTGGAGCATGAGGTGTGCCATTGCGCACTGCACTGCCCTGTTTCCACTTTCACAATCCTACTGCAGAGCGCACCAGCAGCGCGAGCGCATACACGAGTGCAGTTCGACCCCTTAGTATCTGTTTGTCTGCGCAGTGCAAGTGTGTGTATGTGTGGGCAGGTGGGAATGGGAGGCAGGGTGCAAGAGTGCAGGCAACTTCAGCTGTGTTGGATGCGTGTTAGTTTGTCGATGCCTTTTCTGCATCATTTATTCTCCGCCGAGCCCAAAACAACAAACTCGTGTCACCTGACAGGGGGCTGCACCGCAGCTGCCTGGGATGACTGGGCCACAAGCCGCCCCCGCCCCGCTCCCCTCATGCGCACCCTTGCGCTGTGTGTTCCTGGAGGCCACTTGCAACCTTGAACCCAGCATTCCGTGTAGATACGATCTTATGTAATTGTGTCAGTGGCAAACTGGGCAGCCTGGTAGTCCGCGTCACTGAGGCCTGTGAGTCAATGAGTCAAGCACTGTTGGTGTCAGTCAAGCAATGGGCGATGCTGCGAGGCACTCACGTGCGAGCACATGCTCCGCAGCGCCGCTTGGAACCAAACACTAGATGAGCACGCCTTCGTCAACAGAGATCATCAACCTGCCACAAACTTCTGCCCTCAAGCAAAACGTCCTTACCGAGCTCCACACAAAAGTAACAATCCGTGCTTGTATGGCGAATTGTGT